CCCCCTCCCGAGCAAAACACATGCATTACACTTACGGGACTAATGACCCTGGTAGTTTCCGAGCTCGGAATCACTAAGTAATCAATCGTAATGGTGAACTTAAACCCATGGAATTTTCACAACTGAACCAATAGTCTCGTGGCATTTAATCGTTCATCTTTTATTTCTGTTCTTTAAATTTTTATCTGTAGTCTAGCTCCCGCCTTTTCAATCGAACCCTTGACAGCATGAAGGAGTTCCACTTATAATGCTACTGCAAACAAGTATATTGGTGTATAAGGGACGTACACTTGAAATAATGGCAAACTTCTGTGTCACGGCAATGAGGAAGCGTGCTACAACTATTTGAATTTTATCTATCTGCGTATCCTTTCTTCGCACTTTTTGGATACATCTGTACGCATAGAAGGGGGCAACATTTATACATAATATATAATTAATTCTTGCCATCGTTCCATTAATTCCTTCATCAAGAAAATAAAATAAATTGTCATTTAAAATCAGATTACATTGTCAGCGCACGGTTCCTTTTTGTAAAAATGCTCTCGATTAAGGCTCGATTCTGGTTTTCCTGAAGGATTCTATTGATTTAATTTCTTACTTAAAATATTTCTAGAAATCATGTTTTTGCTGCCAGTCGCGAGTCTGTAAAAGTGACATATGCCATCTCCTGTTTGTCTAGTAGATGTAGTGACGTTCTCATCCAGTCATCTTTCGCGAAATTCGTTTCCAGTCTTATTCGGTGGTCGCGTGCGCAAGCAGTCTTCTTCAAGCGAGCATCAAATAGCATCTGGTTGTTCTTTCGCGAGTCACAACCTATAGGGACTCAAAACTGCACATAATGGAAATGTTTGAAAATAACATAAAACAAATTCTGATCACAATAAACGATGTTTTCTTATTGTAATATCAGTCCGGGCTGGGCATAATGATGGCATTGGACGAATGATAGCGATGGCGAAAAGCTACTGAAGTTGTAGAGGTGCAGGTTGAACTACATCCACTATCAATTAGGAATCAATTGGTATATCAGTACAAAAGTATTTTGTAAAAACAATTAATGGATCACAAAATAAAAAATACGACCGACAGAGGAGGACGACGCTGAAGAAACAAGGTGTGCTCCTTGGAATGCAAGATACCTGTGAGGGCGCGCCGCGCACACGCACGTGCGATTTCTTGGAATACAGTGGACCTAATCGTCAATACTCACGCTGTGTATTCCGAAAACGCAGTGTATCTGAACGACTACAACAAATACCGAGGAACTAAATTTGATTCTTTCATGGAACGTGACAACACGTAGCTACAACCGTAAATGGCACAAAATGTCACTGGTGGCCCCTTCAGGGTCTCCCTAAAATCGCTTCTCGTTACCTTAGAAGACAGCGAACCGCAATTTAGCTCAGACAATAAATGCCAATTCGCAATTGATAAAAATCATAAACTTTAGTATTAAAGAAATTGAATGTGTTCTATTATTCATTATAATCAACTATTAATAAGAGAGTTGATTTCGTTTCGTCATTTTTGACGAGATACCTCTAAAGCAGAGATTGACAAACTTCTTTTTTTCTTGAAGACCACTTTCAAAATCTTACTGGTGTCGGTGGATCCCCTGCTGCTACTTTATCATATTCACAAAACTCGTCAAAAATGTGAAGATTAGATGTTATAAGTTCTGGGAAAACTGTTTATTTAATTCAAGCTCACTGTGGACTTGAATCTTGAACGTGAATTGAATGAATGTTGAATTTGAACTTGAATCGTGAAAACAATCGTGGTGCTTTGTTTCATCATTAAAACCACGGCATTTCAATTGTTCATTAAAACCACGAAATTACATTGCCACTGAAATACAGACGAAAATAAACCCAGTTTTTCTCAGAATTTATAAAAGTCACACTGTTCTGGTTTTCACCCATTCAAATAATACAATTAACTTTCACCAAGCAGTGTACTATAACCTTCAAGAACTCCATTAAGGGCGATTGGTAATGTCGAAACAACCATTGAAATATCTGAATTTACTTTTCCATGTTGGAAGGATTGGAATAGTTAATTTATGACCAGACGCCATAGATGTCACGTTTATTCACAAGGAAATTCAAATATATCTTTCGTATGTTACATGTCAACGGGAAGGATACCCGCAAACGCCCTGTCTCTTTTTCCTTCCCTTCCTCCCGTGTTGTTTAAGTTGACTAGTGTCGTAGATCGGTGTTGAAATCACTGGTGAGAAATACTTTCGAATTCAATGTACGTGCCCTATTGCTACATTTTCTATTAAATTACGTTGCTAGCATGATTTCATTCACTATACAAGGTGTGTCTGGAAAGTCATGCAATTTTTAAAAAATCAATATATTGATTGAAGATATTGTTACAAACGTTTAATACTCTTCGAAGTGGTTCCCTTGGGCATTCATAAACTTTTTCCAATCGCGACTCCGCCTCGCACACGGTACGCGTCATGGGAGGACTCAACTGGGACCTCGGGAAGGGCCCTTGCCACGGCGTCTTGGATGGCATCAGTCGATCCAAACGGATTCCTTTCAGGGCGATCTTGATCCGCCGGAAGAGAAAGAAGTCGGTCGGAGCCATGTCCGGACTGTAGGGAGGTTGGGGCAGTGTTGTCAAATTGTGCTTCACCTGATACAAACGCGATGGTGATTCTTCAGATTACAGAGCACACTCCTTAGTCATGTCCAATTGATCGATCACCAGTTTGTATAGAAATGCTTTGGGAATCTTGACTGTCGAAATCATCCCGACATTCATTCGATGGTCTGAATTTAACAGATCGCGCACACGGTCCCACCCTTCCTTAAACGCATTCAACTACCTCGAAACTTAGGAGTATGATACACCATTGATCCTATAAGCTTGAACAATCAATCGGTGGGTCTCCGAAAGAGATTCATTGAATGTCGAATAGACGTCAACGGCTTAACGTTGCTCGAGTGACGATTCCATCGCGTTTTTCGCGACACTAGCATGAAGACTCCCACAGACGGCGCGGAAAATTCGCAGCGTGTGCGGCGCGGAAAGTTCCGCGCTAGACGCGGCGAATTCACTGGTCCTTTCACACCGCAGCGTCAATGAGTCGGTGTTTGGTCTCATCCGATAATTAAAACGCGCTCGCATTTATTCATGCAGGGTATATAAATGCCAAATTACTCGTATGTTTTCTGAGCACATGCGGCATGGTACTTTTATTTAAGATTTTCCTTCATTGTTAATATCTCTAGACAATATCAAAAAGGGGTACATGATTTAGATTTACAAAGGAAAAAGTTTGGAGAATTTCACACCTTGATGTCACAAAGGACGAGAAACGCCATTTTAATTTACGAAAATGATCAGTGACTGTTTTATAGAACTTTAAATCAGAACATAAGACACTAATCTGAAGCATTTCATTCCTAAAATGTGCAAATTATTAGGAACAAAAAGAAATCGACATTTAATGTTATTTAAAATAAATTAAATTACTGAACCGTATTTTTTCTGGCAGCTCAGTCGTCAGATTCACAGTCACAGGCGAGCTGAAAACATTCGACATCTGACACGTATTTGCCTTGAGCTCCTACAGCGGAAGTCGAGCGGCAGAGGAAAAACAGCTTCCGACCGCGTTCCGAAATCCGCCGCGAATTAAACGCTGCCAATCCCGTCGCGACGCTCGCCTGCCGCGCAGGTCTGAACGTGCTCGTAAGGCTACGCGTGACGCGAAACTGCCGCTGCGGACATTCCGCGAAGGCTGCGGGTCTTGCGCGCCGGTCTGAGGGTGCGTTTAAACAAGGGTACGCGGAAACCGCGATCCTGACGCCCCAAACGCTCGGAGCAGACTGACAATAGCATCGCTTTCGAGCTGAGAGCCCCGACCACCCAATCCAGCCGATGGGAACTAACTGCGGCCATTTTACGTACACGCACTAAAAAATTGCATTATTTTCGTGACACACGTAGGTTTACCTCGTATTAACAGATCAATTAGTCTCATAAGAGTAGTTTTTTTCAAAATTTCAATTTCTTTCAAATTGAACGTATGCTATTAAATCCAAACTCTGACTACTGTAATATTAAACTAAAACTCACTTTGAAATATGTGTATGTTACAGTTTATGAAAATGAGCTTTTGTGTAATATGGCAATTGAATATAAGATTAATTGCACGACACTTTATTAATACCTCTAATTTTTCGGCAGCTTTCAATTCCACGGGGCACGGTGGTAGAACGTTTTAATAAGCGCGTCTGTGGCGTAGGTTCATGCGGTCCCCTGAGCGTGACGTCAGGCTCTTCTTCTCTTCTCCTTACGTGGTTGGTCTCGCCCCCACTCCGCCCTTCACATATCCATGCTTGCGGAGGTGCCGACTCAAACGGCACAGAGGTGTTCAAAAGACTGTAGTGAGAATCTGCAGAATGGGCCCAAACATTTTCGCATAAAATGAAACTGAATAGAACTGATTTTTCGATTCATGGATATATTGATACTCCTCCGAAACTCAATAAAGGGATATTGGTAAATTAAAGTTATTTTGTACTTCTGAACGGAGAAAGAATATATTGGTATTAGATTTTTAAAATACGGAATGATGTTTATAACAATTTAATATAATAATTGAATGTACTGTTTATTAAATACATTTCATTAACTAATAACGTACATTTATACTTTTAAAACACGTTAAAAAATAAATATTTGCATTTAGTACCATTTATGTAGACGCCTTTATTCACCAGCCATTGCTTCCTTCAAATTACCATTTTATAATATGTTTTTAAACAAGCATTTCTGATAGTTTTGGGAGACTTTTTGTATTCTACCTTTTTTAGGATTGAATTTGTTGGTTGAAAGAGAACGCAATTATTTTTGAAGTTGACTACTATTTCCCTACATTACTATTAGTTATTAAAATACATTTCCAGATTTGTCTGATCCCAACTTAACGCAGTAGAGAAATAATTTTGTTTCGAAATTATTCTTTCTGTTTGCAGATCGGTTATACTTCGTGACACTGCGAACTACAGTGAAGCCTAAGTCAACGCCAAACACCCACTATTTCAAGATAGACGATGAGCTGGTTTACGAAAATTTTTATGCGGACTTCGGCCCTTTGAATTTGGCAATGCTGTACCGATATTGTCAAAAACTCAACAAAAAATTGAAGGTAAGTGATGAACAATTTTGTTCGCCTGTAAAACTTCGTAAGGTTAATGAAAGAATGATTGTTACACAGCCTTGATTTGAGTTAGGATAATGAGCTTTTTTTTGTTTTACGTTCTTCATGTTCATTTGTGTCATGTGTACCATGCGGTTGGATTAATCGCCCTTTGTCATCATATCTGCGAGATATGACGTTTTTTCTTATCGCTGCCGTTATCTTGTGCAATTGTTCAAAGTTTGTTGTCGCGATAATTGCTCTTCAGTAATTTTTACGTGTTTACAAAACCTGTACGTGCACTCACTACATTACATACAATAAAATGCTATAAATCTAGTTGTCAAATTGAGAATATAAACCACGTTATCGATAATATTCCTAGAGGAGTTATGCTGTTAAAGTCTGGCGTACTAGGGGGGACTTCAGAAGGAAATTTGGGGAAGATTAAGCTCACAATTTTTTGACAATTAGAATAGTTAAAAAAGCTGATTCGGATGTCGTGTATATATTGTGGTTTCAAAGACGGGCTTGTGAACGTTCACCTCCAGAAGAATTATCGGAGAACTCTCACTTTTAGACTTTGTGCTTCAAATCTGTGTTCTTCAAATTAATATATATCTGAAACTGAATAACGTGTGGAGATGTAAACATTGCGTCTTACAACACGAAATGTTTTGCCGCTACGATAATCAGGAGGTGCACCACGCCGTATTAAAAGTTTTTTTCTGTGGAGTAAATAAGTGATCAAAAGAAAAGAAAGGAAAGGATTTCCTGTTCCAAATTTAATTTACCCCTTTACTTCAAATTGAGTTACGGACGTGGTATTTGTGTGTTTTGAAACCTCCGTATCTCCAAGTTATATTTTGTACTTTAGTAGCTACCTCTTTCTTTATGAAGCCTAAACTTCGCATTCCACGTCACTTTCTTGTTCTCCCTCCTCAGTATTATCAGTCATAATAACCTTTGCCATTCTTTTCCCCAATAGGAAATCTTGCAATTTAATGAGTATTAAGATGCAAGATTGAAGTGGTCTTCGCCGCATCTTGCGACATCTGTTTTCGTATGTCGGGGTGGGTGGGATAGAGGGCATTCTCGACACTTTTGAAGCCTTCCTTGCATTATTCAGTAATCACTCGTGGAGAAGGTGGTTTTGACATCGCTACTTTACAACGCACAGGAGAGCTGGTATGGGTTTAGCATAAAAAACTAGTATTTATCATTTTCATTGCCCGAAAATTGCTTTCCCTTCCACACAATCCATATGGCATTGCCATCTGAGTGACCCCGATCTCTTTAAAACAGTTTCTAGTAAAAATGTTACCGTTCTTATAAATCGGAATCTATTGAATTTCTATAATTCAACATAAGCTGACTGGTATGTGCGCTTCACGTGTTAAAAAAAAAGTTGAAATTATTGCTCGTAATACGGCTCGCCGATGTTTCACCGTCATTCGATCTGTAATCATAGGTTATTAATGACTGTGAGAGAAACTGGCTGTGCAGCAAACCGCATATTTGGCGAACGTTTAAACTTGAGAGAGAACGTGGGAGTGCGTCATCCTTCTATTCGCACGAAGGCAGCCGAAATGAACCCGTGAATGCACCCACCCATCCGTGTATCACGCAAGTCAGCCAAGGGGTTGTGAATAGCGCTACGCTGCAGTGCGCAAACGCTGTTGCGTACTGAAACGCGTCCATGCAACGCACCACCAGCGCTGACCGGTAACGAATTTTATTTCGCAACAAGACTTATGCGGAAATGTCAAAGGTTTTTTTCCTTTTTTTAAAAATTTTACGGGGAATTCTTACCAGTAGGGTGCGCCAAAGTCAGCTTGTTTTGTTACCGGATAAGATGTTTGAGATTCTGAAATTCGTAGGTGCCTTTGAAGAAAGTTTACATCTGCGCGTGCGTGCGTGCGTGCGTGCATAAGTAGGTGTGAGCTTGCGGGTGTGCGTAGTAACTTGTCGTAGGTCAAAATTCTCTTTTCAAGAAAACACGAAGTGTACGTGTAACAGAATGTTAATGCACTCAGACTTAATTAAAGTAGTCTTAGCTTTGAGAAATCGTGTATACTAATTTAGTTAAAAAGTAAATGTATTTGGGACGTGTGTTGTTCGATGTGGGATTGCCACCATTGCATCACTTACGATTATGACTTGAAGCTTTTAAAATATTCTCACTTGTTTTTTCACTTTAGTTCTTTCGTTATTTAACTCTGTAACTGTAAATGTATTGAACATTTCATGGTCATTTAAATGTTAAGACTTTCATCTTCCTGTTCCTTCAAGTTCTGAAGGGGTCCACAGTGTTCAAATTCGGCTTAATACGAAAATTTAAGAAAATGTTTTTGAAGCTTAGAACATGTAATTTGATCATTATCTTAATTATGAATTAAAACTATATTTTCACTTAAAAAATTAATAATAAATCTTTAAAACATTCTGAACGATAAATGATTATATCTTACGTCTAGCAATTTTTTTTTTTATTCTCTTGAATGATGAAAATATTACAAAGTCTGTGTTCGGGAATATCTTCATGCCCAACAATTTCTTCAATGCCCTGTTTTTCGTTAACGTCCGAATTCGTTGTGGTTGAGTTGAGCCTGTCGGACACATCTCAACAATTTACGAATGTTATGTATAGGTTATTTGTGTATATATAATATATGTAGTTGTCTTGTCGTTAGTAAGAATGCGCGACATTACTGCGTACGTGAAAGGTGCTGGATGGCCTTGCGAGATTGACACGCAAGTCGTTTCTTCCGCTGGTTTACTCAAGCGCTCCTTCTCGCTTTGAATGTTTTTGCAAAATTACCAACACTTACACGGCGCCAGAAGTGCGATTGGATGTAATTTCTGAGGTTATTTTTTTTTACTTTTTTGTGCTTAAAAAATGTCTTAAATTCCAAAGTCAATTGACTTAAACAGAAATGATCTTCGCATTTGTCGAGGAATAAATTTCTGTTTTTTTGAAAAATTGCAAGTATAGCTATAGTGCCCTGAAGTTATGCGTTTGTTACTTCTTTTTGTAGAAATTATTACATTCAGACTAAATTGACAGTTGGCAGTGGCAGAAACTTGCCGTCGGCCCGGAAGCTGTAAGCTCGTAAAGATGATCGAAACGATCTTTAGCATAATATATTTTCTGATACCAGACAACATATTTAATTTACCGTATTTAAATTGACAGGGTTTTTGTTTGGTGTGCGTGCTTGAGAATTGCGTGTTGCGAACACCATTGCATGAAGCTGGAAAGGTCTGCAAACTTCGTTGAAAATGCTAAATGCTGTATGTTGTGTTTGAACGGTGAACTGAGGAGCAGAATAGGGACCTAACTAACCTTTAAAACGGAATGTTTCTCGTGGTCTTCACAGAATGGGAAATCGATCAGTCCGTCTGTCCGCCGCGCCGCGCCGTGCCCTTCCGTGTGCCTCCGCATGCTACCTGTTGGTCGCCTTCTGCTTCTTCGTCTTCCTCGGGTATGCGTGTGTGTGAGTGCGCGCGCGCGCCAGGGCACACCGTCGGGTCGTTACTTCTCCACCAACGAGATATACCGTTAGCGCTCCGAGGAGGAGGAGCAGGGGCGGGCGGGGCGAGGGAGCGAGGGAGGAGACGGGTGATGCGATGAGGAAAGAGCGGGGAGGAGAGGGGAAGCTCCTCGTGTCGGGGACTGGTTCGCACTCTCCCGCGCGACCGGGGCCGCGCGCAGATCCAGCACTAGCGAGCGCCAGCTCTGGCAGCGGCGCCGACGCCGACGTAGACGCCAAAGGCGGCAGCGGCGGCCTCGGCACCGTTAGAGTTGACGCCGGGTCTCGCGGCACGACTGCCACTTCCGCCAGCGCACGTCACTGGAGAACGATTCTCTGGGCCCAGCAGACGTGTGCCAGCCTGCTAGGGAGGCAATGTCGCAACCTCAGCCTGGAACCAGGCCTCCGGGAAGGCAGGCTGCTGGACGGTGGACATGGTGTGAACATTCCTGAAGACAAATGCGTACTTCCACAAATGTAGACCTTCTTTTTTCTAAAAATGGGGGGGGGGCTAACACGAGTTCTAATACGATAATACGAGAAAGTTCGAAAAGTTAAATATGTTTTCAAAAAATTATTTCTTTGAACAGTAGTACAAATGAGTATATATTTTTATTTCCGACATCCCGTTTGCAATTTTCGTATGACTTACTGGCAATGAAAATTACAGGGAGAATACCATTTTTAAACATTATTGCATAGAATAACGTATGAAATATATGCAATAGTTTCCTAAACTTTCATTCCAAAAAACTGAAGAGGCCGTATACGTGAGGGGGGCCTACATTCGAGAAAATACGGTTTCCGACTAACTTTGATACAACGTTTATCCCTGATACATTTTGATGGAAATAATGTAAAATGGAACATGCACGAATAAAATGTAGAGTTTTGTGATTTGGTAGTTATAGTAAATTTAAACTTACTAATAACTTGCATTGCTCGTAAGAGTTTTTATTTATCTTGTGAATAAGTAATATGCGTTATTGTTTGTCGAAGACAATAATTTTTAAAAAAAACTAGGTACATGTAATTTTTAGACACGTTGTGAGCGATAATAAACAGGCACATCACCGTTGGAATGTTTCAAAAGAGCATGGTAATCAATACTGATTCAATTAACACATCATTCATGCTGTGACATACTCCAACCGATGTACAATACGATAAAGTGTAAACTTGAATTTTCATGTGATGTAATAATACGTGAATGGTTTTGTTTTCATTTTGCGTTCTTTCACTTCCTCGTAATCTTGTGATCGCATTTCAGAAGCAGTTTTGCGCCGCGTAAATTGCAGGGGCGACCGTCAGGAATAATATGGGTCGAGCGATGTCATAGGCTGGAAGGGGGTGGTTGTGAGGGTATTTTAATTGGTTAGATCTTCTTAAGCATATTAATAATGAATGCATTAGAATTTGTAAGCGAATACTCGCCACTAGGTGGAATGTGTGTGTGTGTGTGTGTGTGTGTGTGTG